CGTAAAGTAAATTAAAGGAAACGTCGCTCACTCCCTCTCTCCCCTTCCTTCCCCTGCTGTCTAGTTTTTTGTTAGCTAAATAGGGAAATTTCTTCCTTCTCCTTCTCTTGAATCTCTTCCCTCAAACACTCTAAAGGGACTACTTAAAAAAACAAAGTTCAAATTTGCAGGGGGCTACAAAATAGAAACAGTAATAAGTGGTTAGCTAAGTTAGTAACTATTAATTTAAAATAAATTCATAAAGATATGAAAAGTGAATGTATGAAGTCAACAATAAATAGCAAAAAATGTAATGTGATTTAGCTAATCACCATAAATGATGACTTATGCATAGTTTTAAAAATAAGATTGAATCGATGGATCAAATCAATTGAACCAATACCTAATAACCTAAACGAGTTGGGTAAATACTTAAAACCAATATAAAAGTTAAACCATTCATAACTAATAAAACCATTTAAGCCAATATAAATCATTAAATCACTAAACCGGATGGTTCAAAGCTTTTGAGAAAATTTCTTTAGATTAGCCACATCCAAGGTGGTACACTTGACTTCAAGCAGCTTTTCAACAACCTTTGCCACTAGAGCACAACTCTTGGAACTTATATCTCTTGCTTAAAATTTTATTTTTTTTATTTTTAAGAAGAAAAGAATTGAAAATATTATTAAAGGAATCGAATTTCTTCAACTTTATCAAGATCCTCCACTTGATGTGAAGAGAAATATTGTTAACTTTTATATTGAAATTAATATAAATTTTTTTTAATTTATATCTTAAAGGTATAAATTAAAGTGTAACAAATGTAATTTTTTATAATTAATTTAATTTTTATAATTTTTTATATAAATTCATTATAAAAATTTATTTATTTTACCATTAACCTTTGTGGAACAAAACTCATTAATATATTATAGGTATGAAACATAATAATATAAATTTTTACATTTATTTATAATTAATTTAGATAAAGAACTATAAAAATTGACATTTATATAGATGAATTTAATTAGTTAATTAATTAATTCAAAGTCAATTTTTTTAATTTTTTATATAAATTAATTAAAAAATTATATTTATTGTATTTTAACTTATATAATAAAAACCCATTGATATATTATGAGTTATATAGGTTTGACATCTACTGGGCTCAAACCTCCATCTCCAGAATAGCAGACTGGTGGAACCTATATAATAAAAATTATATTATGAGTTCTAGGTTAGAAACATATTAATTAAATTTTGACATCAATTAAGCTTGAACCTCCATCTCCAGAATGGTAGATAAGACAGCAAACTGGTGGAACAATGATAAACTTATTATTAAGTGATGTATAATACTATATTTATTGATATTTAATTAAACTGATAATTTAAATAATTTAACCAATTA